AAGATAAATTGAGGAAACGTTAGTCTTTTGATAAAATCGTATGTATTGTATTAAAGAATCAAAGGTTCACACACAATATCGAATTCCATGAAACCATGAAGAAGTGAATGGTAATCAAACATTCCACAAACTCTGCGAGATCGAATCTCACTTGTAATCAGCAAAGTCACGTCCACCATGTTATTTATAAACGACGAATTCCCAATTTAACCACGCATGCACCGTATGTAAACTTCACTCGCGTTGCTCGAGTAAATATCGATCCAACGATCGTGTAAATATCGATAGAACGAAATCATCGGATTCTGATTGAAAATCTAATGAGTATTCTTTTTCTCAGGGATGGAAACGGAACGGAAGAAGCTGATCTGACAGAACCGTTGGTAACGTTTCCGGACCCGGACACACCACCACCCTCCACGGGAACGGTCACATTAACGGGAGGTTCGCCCTCTCAATTAAGGGACTTGAATTCGTTGAACAATCTTCACAGTATGAGCCCTCCAATCAGTATATCGAACATATCGAACATGACGAACCTACCTGCTGGACAGGAGACGATGAAATTCGAGCAGAAAAAGATGACCAGCGCATCCAAGACTAAGGTATGATTTTTCTCTTATGTTTCCTAAACAATAGTTTCTGAATTATTCATTTCTTTAAGATACTGAAGAATTGATTTGTTTCGAAAGCAGCTAACAAAATTAGTTCCGTAATTTCCAACTGACTGTATAAAAATTACTTTAAGATCACCTTTTCTTTAATTATTATTATTCTAATATTAAACGTCTTTCTAAAATCTGCGGTCGTTCTGAAATTAACATAAATCCTCTCGAATGATTAATCGCTTCGATTCCTCCTGTCACTTTAATTGCGACAATTTCTCGGTGAAAGATGATTTCGTCTCGAATTACTTCCTGTTCGAAATTGCGCGTGAAATAATCGACGTCGCGTGTAGTTTGCGAGCAGTTTGGCGAGGCTGCACAACGTTTGGCCGAAGGCGCGGTTTCCTCTAAGTAGTCTAGGTCAAGGACTAGCGTGACTATCTCTAGGTGACTCCTCTAGCCAAGCGGCCAGCCACTGGCGTCCGGTACACGTAGCACTTCGCGAGGAACCGTTGTCATCGAATCACATTTCTCCATTCCCACGTGTAATCTCCTTCAACCGACAGATTTTAATGACACTCAAGATTTTTTAAACATTCGTTGTAACGTGGGACTTTGCATTGTACGCAAGCCTGCGGGAACATGCTCGTGCCGGTTATTTTTACGCCGAATGTCACGCCCTGCTCCCCCGACAGCTGATCTCTTTCCGCTTGAATTCTATGTTTAACTTCACTTCCGTCACAGCAAGGTCAGTCCTTGCTACCCTCTCACTCCCTGAAAATGATGACTGATAATTACTGTTAATTATTCCCTCAGAATACTTTTCTTCCTGCAATCCTCGACTGCAATTGCGAAAAATATTCACTATTCGTTTGGATTTCAGGTTGTCACAGATGGATTCAGTGCCGAGAAGGCAACCGCGAATAGCGCAGAGATGAGAGCTTTACAGGCTGGCGACGTTTCCTACAAAGAGCAAAGCGCTGCGACGGCGGCCAGGGCGCGTGTCGAACTCGACGGCGTATCCGCGGAGAAGAGCGTCGCCGCTGCAAGGGTGAGTCCAAATTTTCCTTAACCAATCATCCCGAAGCTTGGATGAACAATTCATTGATTAGATATGAAATGCAGTAGACTCAATTTAAATATAGTAGTTCATTAGAATCATTGTAGTGACATTGACATTTATTATTTTATGGTATCCTTGAGTACTCTAGATAAGATTACGCGACACGCTTTCGCATACGATAAGGATTGTTCAAAACGAGTATCAGCTGGTTAGTCGCACAAAGAGCTCGCGAGCAGGAAGGCGTTGCTCTGGGTGCGGCCTAAACTCGACTCGCGTAGAATAGTTTGGCACGAAAACTCGTACTCCTCTTGGGTCGTTGACACGATCAGCTTCTTCTCCTGTTGATGATCTCGTATACCGAACCGTTCTCACGCAATTGTCGAACAAACATTCTCGTCTTCAGCCTTCGAAGAAAAGCCACCCGGCACGTGTGTTGTTACCCAGAAAAACGCGAAATGAAAAAACTTGATTTTAGATTTAATTTCAGGTACATTTAAGAAACATAAATATTTACTTGAAAAAGAGTACAAAAATGGACGCATACAATTTTTAATTTTAGTTAATAGCGCGTTCGTAACAGAATTGCATTGGGCGTATGTGTATAGATTCGTGAAATTGAGTTGTTTGCCAGATGAAAACGTGGATTGCCTGGATTCGTTGTCGATTACGCGAACGACGACGTTCGTTCTCACGACGTTTACGCACTAAATTTAACCATTTTCACTGAGCTACGTAGCTTTTGAGTCACCTAACGAATTTTTGACTCGGTGCCAACGGCTGCTACTCTACGAACGCGCTTTAATATTGTTCTTTCCTCGTTTTCTTGATGTACATCGATGATTATTCGATCCTCTCTTGTACCTATGATATTCGCTATTCTCCACAATGTAGAATACACTTTTTCGAACCTAAATACCGATTTATCGTATAGTTACAAAAATGCCAAAAAACGCAATTAGATCATCAGTTAAAATCATTTCTTATATACAGACTTACAATATTAACTATTTAAATTGTAGTGTTTCCTTCACAAAAATTTGTAAGATTAAAGGGGTGAATAACTGAGATTTTCAACAGTAAGCGAGAAAGTCCGCCCACTCGAGTCCTATCTCCAAGGAGATGAAAACATCCCCTGACTCATGGGGGTGGAATGAAAAGCTCTGACGATCGATCGATGGTTAGCCCGAAGGCAACGCAGTTAGTTTCTGGCGCTGGTAGTCGTCGGTTCATGTGTCGATGGGTCAACGATTGTCTAGCTTTTCAAGGGGTATTTTCCCCATTTTTAGACCCAAGAACACCATCGAACGACGAAAGATCATGGCGAACGATCATCTCGGAGACAAAACCTCCAAAACGGTATTACTTTTATGCTGCGATTCCGTTTTTACGGATATAAAAATGCCGCATTTACGTGTTGCCGGTGAGAATCGACCGTCTTTCTTACTTCTCCAGCTGTATGCACCGTCTGCTTACTAAAGTGTGACCGTGGTTGCTTTGATTTATTTCAAGAAGTGGAAAATTGTGCTGTTCAAGTGACAAGTAACGGTTTGATGATACTATCAATAGAATCGTTCTATCACTGCAGTTTGATGACCAAATACTTTCAACAGTTATTTAAAAGTAATATTCGATTAATCACTATTCTACTCACATTTTGAGACAAACTATATCTTATAGAAAATTCCTTAGATCAATTTGAACGAAAATTCAATATGAACCAAGCATCCAAAGCTTTGAGAGAGCTCTCGAACTATCGAAAGACAACCATAATCGTCTGTTCAGCCTCAAGGGGTACGATAAGTGTCGTGAACGAGTCCGTTCACTGTCCCATGTGAAAAACGCGACCGCCTGCGTAATTATAGGGAAACTAATCGACGACGGAGAACCGCGATCACGACAGACACTTTAATTAAAAGATCTCCCGGCGATCTGTTCATTCCTTGATTGCCCACGGACCAGCACACGCGTTGCTTTTACGTAATATACGTTGACCTCCTTTATTACGATCGATCGTTCTTCCACGTTTTCTTAGAATTGATCGATCCAGACTATTTCGTTGGTCAATTTCTTCGTGTCATCTAATTGTAAATTGATATCAGATTATTTATTCACAGTACTTGATTAATATTTATACTTTTGGAATCATTTGTACGGTTATCATCAATTTTCATTCATCATTGTATTTTAATATACAAACTCTTGTCATTTTCGTATGCGTCTGTCAGACACAAGATTTCTTCACGATTAACACAATGTTCATTAAACGTCCGAATCCTATTCCGATGCCAAGTGTTTCGCGAGAGAGTTCACGAACGATTTGTATGGTTGCACAAGCGGTCTCTTTGTTACCTGTCCGTCGTCGGGGGTGGTTCATTGAGTGACGAATAGTGAGATCAGTCCCGAAATTTTGCGGGAAACGTTGCCAACGGGAAACGTGGTTGTCACCGATATCTCTGCGAAACCGAAATAGAAGCCGACCACGAAACAGACTCGTCTCTCGGGTAAATTGCCAGCTCCCCCGTCTCCTACATTTCAAGGACACGTTCAAGGCCGTTCGGCGGGATTCTCTCCGAATCGAGGAACTGTTTTTCTAGATAGTGATTTACAATCAATTGGGAGGATACGAATATCGCGATTAGAATCGAATGACGAAGGAACGGGGACTAGTTCATGCAATCGTCTTTGATATTGTTGCAATAATTGTCGTTTAATCGAGAGCGATTTTATTTTTAGAAAATATTTGATAAGCGTTATCGCGTTAGCGACCGATAATGATTCATAAAAACGTATTTTCTGCAAAGTTTCTTTTCTATTCCAAAGAGGAGTAATTAGGTCTCATAACTAGTAAAAATAAATACGAAGTATAACTTCGAGGAATGGCTTGGTTATCGATTCCCATTGCGTTCTTTTCTAATGTTATTTCAACGAAATGATGGAAGAAAGCGAATTGTAGCAAAAAATCCACGCTGTTTAGCTCAAATGCGTCATATAAGTCGTAAGTCACGATAATCTCTCGTTCGTGATTCGACCGTTCGGATTATTTATAATTATACTGATTATACATCTGTCAGCATCTAACGAGATGGCAAACACGCTAATGAGCTTTTGTTAACAAAAGGAGCTATCGTTGTTATTGGCACGCTCCGATACCCTCTCTTCTTGTCGTATCTTTCCGGCACATTGTCTGCATTGCATGTCTTCGCTGATGTCGAAATGAAAATTGGAGACGTGGCAAGATATTCGTCGAGTGTTGACAAATAAATTGCAGAAAACCTATTCGATTATTTTCGTATATTTTCATGCACTCCTAGTTTATGTTCTTCAGTGAGGCTTTGTTTTATCCATTTTCATGACATATTTATGATAAAATGATCTGGTTGTTCAGTTATAAGAATCTCATTCTGAAAACAGTTGGGGTATTGATTTAAAATAAGAAATCTGAATTGACATTTCTTTTATTGTTCGAAAATAATTATGTTCTTTACACATCCAGTTTTTAAAACATAAAATCAGCAGTCTAATAATTAGAATGCGTCGTCTTTCATCGGTCATTGTCCATTCTTCGAATTGCAAGGAAGAAGGCGTTAGTCCGAGACGCGTTACGCAACTTTGGCCGAACAGGTATCCGAAATTTCACGAGAATCTTTGTGTGCACTGGCGTCGAGTGATGCGATCGCTATTTCTAGTAGAGGAAAAATAGAAACGGCACCACGGAATCCCGCCTAAAAAACCTGAGTGCAGCACCGATGTCACGCGGCCCACTCACCACCACGTGCCACGGATGCAGTAGGTTCGTGTCCAAACGAAATTAAATTTTGCCCGACACTTGCTCGCCGAGCGTGGCAACGCCTAGATCGATCTGCTGTCCGCTTAGTGTTCGCGTTTCCAAGTAGTGTTCATATTTTTTAATTCACACTCGAATGATACTATCAAAATTCACAGTTAGTTGTAAAACAACCGAAATTTGTTATAAAATGCGACGTGTTAAGTGAAACTTTTATATACACTTCTGTGTAAATGAATAACTCTCGTATTCTCAAGAGTAAAAAATATTTTGATTGAAAATTTAAAAAAAAATGAATTATAATTGTACAAACTTCATTTAAAACAGAAAAAAAAACTCAAAAATTCAATAAATAGTATTTATTTATAAAAGTTAACAGCTCTATTCGAGTCGTGCTTAAAAATCCATTTTACAGTTCTTTGTTTTATGCGTCGTTCACGCAAGAGAGAGATAGTCATTATCTAGTTTCTAAAAATGTCTCATGTAGTGCTGCGAACACTAAGCGGTCACAATTGTACTTTATTATTCTCCCACCTTATACGTTTTTTCTATTTGGTTAACGAGAGGCTTATCGTTGAACGCGTTATCTAAGGTTTATCTTATCCATTTGACGAGTCGGATTTGACGAGACTCGAACCAGATTATTCACTGACTTTCTGAGGGTCGAATAATACGCGTGGTGAGAGGAAAGAGTGGTGTTATCAGTGTGGAAAGCGGTGATATGCGCTCTCGGGGAGATGAGCGCACCGTGGCCAGTGCATCGCGGCGTGATGCAGCGGAAAGTGTTCGATCGGTCGCACGCAGTAAGTTTGTTTGAAAGTTACAGCGATTCCTCGGTCGGTGTCTCGAGAATTCTACGTGATTCAAGTCTCCGTATCTCTGAGTTATAATTAGACTGCGGATTTTTATGCAAAACGATACGTTTGTACTATCAATTTGTAAAATGCAAATTCGATAGAAACTTTTATCTTTTAAGAACAATTTCATTTTTTATGTGTCATATTGTCTTGAATCGTGAATGAATTTTTAACTTTTCTATAGATGTATAAAATCCACAATCGATTATATAAATTGAGATTGAAAAAAGATCATTATCGTAAGTTCGAAATATTTTCAAGTGTCGAATAATCTAACTTCGAGATAAAGAACCATTTTTAGAAGTGTAGTAAATAATCTGATTTCATTGGAGGAAGTACAGAAATCATTTTGCGACGAGGAACCACAGGTGTTCCTGTTTGGTATTCATACGAAGAACCAGGGGAATCTCTTGCTGTATGCTAAGTAAATAAACGTTTCGTCCAAACAGTATGTACGAAGTGTTTCTTCGTAATCTACAGAGACGTTCGATTGATGCATTCCCTCGATGACGTTCATGAGCGATAAGATTAAAGATGATGATGATGGGAGCTTCAGAATGACAAATGACAATTTTTAATTACGTCTCAATTAATTTTTTCAACAACTTGACGTCGAGAAAATATTTTGGAAATATCTGGAATTGCGTGAACGATCGAGCGAGAGTGAATTTAAAATGATCGAATATGTTTACCACTTCGCGCTATTCTAAGAATGGTACAGAAATCGAAAACAATATGACACTATAATCTCGTGATCTTTAACTAAATGCGAAAAATTATCGATTCAGATAATCAACTGTTGATCGCTTTGATTCGAGGTGCCAACTATATGAATAAACACGAAATATAAAACGTTATTGACTGCTTGTGTCATTGTTTAAGTGAACTCTGATGTTATTCTCAAGGAATCGTTAAATATTGAGATATTCCATTTTTGTCGAAATAGCATTACTATGTATGAGGAAGATCAATGCAATCTTTGATGAGATATTCCATGAATACAAGCCTTAAAAAAAGAATCTTATCATTACTCTGCTAATTTTAAAACGCAAAAATTGAAATATATTTTGGATATACATTTCGTTTATTATACAAGCACGGTTGTTAATATTATGCATCGTATGGAACGTTTATATTATGTACACATCTAAATTTTCCTCTAAATGAAATTCACATTCTAATTATTTAATGCTATTCGGCGTAATTATATTCTTATTTCTCCGTTTAATCGGATTCCAAAGTCCGACAGAAGAATGATAAGCAATCTGCGACCACGTGGAGATTGTTCAGGAGGGAGCTCGCGGTTCCCGCGCGCAAGGTGGCAGAGATGAGCGGAAAACACGAAGAGTACCCAGTACCCTGTGACGGCACGCTCGGATTATATTTAGATAAATACGTCAGAAGCCGTGGAGAGCGCACGCGGAAAGGTCGAGCCGCGGCCGATGAGCTTTCGACTAACCAGACTGCTATGGAACTCTGTTGTAGAAGCTCGTAACCGAACGTTTCCGCTTCGACCCGCGTCAGCCAACCTTCTCACTTTTGCATGTACCAAAGAAATTCTCGAGTTTGGTGATAACTGGCGAATATTTATGTCAGTGCTGAAGTTCGTGTGATTATAAACAATCTTTTAACTTTACTGTTAATAGTAGAGCAGATAACGTTGCTTTACATTAACATTTTGCTGTTTCGTCTTTATTTTAACGTTCAAAGAAATGTGAAAGTTGCGTAATTTTAAAAGGAGTGAGATTTAGTAAAAAGTGTGAACATAATTGCAAAATTCTTTATGTTATAACAGCAAAATCGTAGAACTGTTCGGTAGATTATTAAAATTGAGCGAATAGGGATTTGCCAGTAAATAGATAGTGATGCAATTCTGAGTTGCAGACCTATTAATGTTTATTCGCGAATTATCGTTATTAGCCAATACGGGCTAATTATCTGCATACGAGCGCGTGTGTGTCTGTGTCGTACAAGAAAAGTCTCGGATGTGGCCCTCACGGATACAAATGAAATTCGACAAGGTGATAGATCACCCCTATAAGTATCTGTGACTGTAATTACGAGTAAATTGTGAAGAACGTCTGTGCGTGTATGTTATAGAATTTGATACATTTTTTCTGGAAATTGATTGTGTTCGGAAGTTTCTTTCCATTCGAGGTACTTGACACTGGTTAAACAAACTCTAATTTGGTCTTCCTGGAAGTATTTTCAAGCGCCGATTTCCCGAATCGCAAATGCATACATCTGATTGTTTATTTTATAAGATGTTTTCAAGTTCCACCTTCGTCTAAAGCGCGCATTTCCATATTATTTTAGTTTGAGATATTGTCGAGGTAAAGTCTGATGTCTATTTTTAGATTTACATTTCGCACTACGTCTGGAACGGTATCTTCACATTAGTTATTTCAAAATCGTTTTTCGCGAACGTTCCGCATAAAAAAGTTAATGTTTTCGAATTTTCTGTTGTAGGAGCAGAGAAGCCTGAAAGCTGGCGATTTATCTCATCAGGAAAGCAATAACATGGCTGCGTCCACTATGAAATTACAAAGCGATTCTTTCAGTTCAGAAAAGGTAAGAAGCACATTTAATAAGTTTTACTTTTTTCCTCGAATGTCCGGGACAAGCGTTTAATTTAAAATGAATTTGGTTGGCAAGCAAATAAGTACTGAAGAAAGCACGCAGAAGCGTGCGTTTAACTGTCATAATATATTTGCTCGTGCCTGTTTGGCACACGCGTAGGCCACGGCCGCGTCTCGACGCTTTTCGCACGTTTGCTCGAAACTGTATACACATGGACGCAGACGCGAAAGATTTCTCGCCGCGAAAAGTGGGATACTCACGGATTTAAACGATGACCAGCTTGTCGGCGTGGTTCAGTCTTTCTCGATTTTCCCGGCCGGTAGTAGCATATCAATCCGCTTCCCGGTGAACCACCGGAAAAGCGTGCGATGATGCGCAAGTGCAGCCTTGATTCCAAAATGGTAGTTATCGCCTCTTTTGATCGTTTGCTGATTTTCGACAAGAATTTTAATGAAAACTCACTGTTCGCGCGTGATTGCTTCTGCTACGGTGCGAAAAAATTAGTATATTTGATTAAAATTAAAAAAATTCTGTGTTAAGAACTTGTAATACGAAAGTTAATTGTGCTATCGATGAGAGAGGATTATGAATCTTATGAAAAGTCGTACGATTGAATTGTCGAAGATGTGGAAACTTTGTACCGGGCAAGCAGGAGTTTTCGAAATATTTATGATCACTTTTGAAGGCCTCTTGGACTGCCTAGCGCATTACGTAGTGATACAGAAATAATGAAAATACTCGCACCGGACGTGATAATTCTGTATGACGCCAAGTTACAGTAGATTCGTAGCCAACATAGAATCGTTCATAGCCCGTTTAGACCATGTGGTCTTTTGTATTCGGTAAAACTACCGAATCGATAACAACCGAAAGGAGCATTTACATATTTTTTTATATGCAGATATTAGTCATTCATTGTAAAAAAATGTTTATAATATCTAATCCTTGTGATTATAATTAGGAAGGCAGCTAAAAAATGGAAAATGCTTTTTGTTTTCAGAAAGCCATGGCGGCGCAGCAGCAGAGGCAAACGGTCACCTCGACCGGAATATTTAACCACGAGAAACACATCTCAGCAGCTAGTTCTCAATCGAGCATCACGATAGCTTCGAAGGGTGTCACGTCTTCTATGATAAGTGCAGCTAGTGCAGTGAATCAATTGATGAATGGCATGAGACCAGCGGAAGATGAACTTCTATCTTTGCCTTTGGACGATCTGGACCTCCTTTGTTCGAAGTCGAATCCTCAGGACGTCGATCGAGCCATCGACAAGTATTCGAGTTTCTTGGGCAGTTTCGTGGAACGTTTAAAAGACAGTAAAAACGGGAAAGCGCCACTGCTGTTGAACAGAGTCAACGAGATAATCAGGAAGGCCTGGGCAGTGCCTACTCATGGTCACGAATTGGGATACAGCCTGTGCAACACTCTCAGAATGAGAGGCGGTCTCGATTTGCTGATGTCGAATTGCATTGCCAACGATAAGGACTTGCAATTCTCCTCGGCCAGATTGCTGGAACAGTGTCTGACCACGGAGAACAGGGCGCACGTAGTGGAACACGGGTTGGAAAAGGTGGTGAACGTAGCGTGCGTTTGCACGAAGAACGCGAACTCGGTGGACCACTCGAGAGTAGGCACCGGCATTCTGGAACATCTGTTCAAACATAGCGAGGGTACCTGCAGCGACGTGATTAGGCTAGGCGGTTTGGACGCTGTCCTGTTTGAATGTAGAAAAAACGATGTTGAAACATTGAGGCATTGCGCCGGTGCACTCGCCAATCTGTCTCTGTACGGTGGTGCGGAAAACCAGGAAGCCATGATCAAGAGGAAGGTACCTATGTGGCTATTTCCTTTAGCTTTCCACAATGACGATAACATCAAGTACTATGCTTGCTTGGCGATAGCTGTGCTAGTAGCTAACAAGGAGATAGAGGCTGCGGTACTGAAGTCCGGCACCTTAGATCTTGTCGAACCGTTTGTCACTTCGCACAATCCTTACGAGTTCGCCAAATCGAATCTAGCACACGCGCATGGTCAAAGTAAAAATTGGCTCGAGAGGCTGGTCCCCGTTTTGAGCTCGAAAAGGGAGGAGGCTAGAAACCTAGCGGCTTTCCACTTCTGCATGGAAGCGGGTATCAAGAAACAGCAGGGTAACACGGAAATATTTCGAGCGATTGGCGCGATCGAACCTCTGAAAAAAGTAGCCAGCTGCCCCAACGCGATCGCTTCCAAATACGCGGCGCAGGCGTTGCGTTTGATCGGAGAAGAGATCCCACACAAGCTCAGCCAGCAAGTGCCTCTTTGGTCCACGGAGGACGTCCGAGAGTGGGTGAAACAGATCGGGTTCGCGGAGTGCGCCCAGAATTTCGTAGAAAGCAGAGTCGACGGTGATTTGCTATTGCAATTGACAGAGGAAAATCTCAAGGAGGACATCGGACTGACGAACGGCATCAGGCGGAGAAGATTTACTAGGGAACTACAGAATCTTAAGAAGATGGCAGACTACAGTAGCAGAGACACCGGGAATTTAAACAGTTTCTTACAATCTATCGGCCAGGAATTTTCGATCTACACATATAGTATGCTCAACGCCGGCGTTGACAAGGACTCGATTAGGAACTTATCCGAAGATCAGTTGTTAACCGAGTGCGGTATAGCGAACAGTATCCACCGTTTAAGGATATTAGACGCCATCAAGAACATGCAATACAATCAGTTGGGCTCCTCGGAAGATGAGTCGCCGGACAAATCGTTGGACGTGTTCGTTAGTTACAGAAGATCGAACGGGTCTCAGTTAGCCAGTCTTTTGAAAGTTCATTTGCAACTGCGTGGCTTTTCTGTATTCATCGATGTCGAAAGGCTAGAAGCTGGCAAGTTCGATAACAATTTGCTGCAGAGCATCAGGCAAGCGAAACACTTTCTCCTTGTGCTCACGCCCAAGGCTTTGGAAAGGTGTATACAGGACAGTGAGTGCAAAGATTGGGTCCACAGAGTGAGTTTCAGATTCTTTTTTGTTGTACAGGGAAGTTGCTCGTCGAAACTTATGTGACGTTCATGGCTGTTGCAGGAAATCGTAGCAGCTCTACAGTCACAGTGCAATATAATTCCCATCATAGACAATTTCCAATGGCCAGAGCCAGAAGAACTCCCTGAAGACATGCGAGCGGTTTGTCACTTCAATGGTGTGCGATGGATCCACGACTACCAAGATGCTTGCGTAGACAAGCTTGAAAGGTGTGTGAACTTCGTAAAATTTTATGCATTCTATATCCTATGTACATTTTTGTAAATCAAATTAATTTATCAGGTTTATGCGAGGCGAAATACCTGCCAGATCGGATATTCCAAGGGGCATCGCAACCAAAGACGTGACTCAACCGAATACACCAGGCAACACTAACATTCGACAACCACCGAACTATCAACGCATGCACAGCAACGAAAGCAGGGGCAGTGACAAAGATTCGACAGGGGGTCGAGATTGACTAGAGGGCCCGCCCACGGCCATACCGAGCAGGTAACTATCGCCTTATAAAAGAATAAAATCTATGTTAAATAGATATTTCGCGTAAATTTTTCTGGAGGTATAAGTTTAATGAAATATTTTTATTTCCATGCCAGCCAGGATTAACAATAGCGCTAAAGACAATCGATCAGAATATAGCTAGACTAGGTCAGTCGAGGAAATGAATTTTTTTTATTCATGTTTTAATTGATGTCCGTGTATATCGGTGTCATCTATGTCGTCTGCTTATTTAATTGTCATAGTATATACTTTGTTGTTAGCCATGTGATCATATTATGCGCCCTTGAATTTAATTAATCCTAGAATGATTTTTTATCTTCATGTTTATATTGTATCTCATCTCAGAAAAAATCATTCTGGAGAATTATATAAAAAGTGCAACATGTTTATTGGTGTAAAAAGGATAGTGGTGGTTGCATGATTGTTGCTATTGTGTTAGAATCATTGTTTTTACGTATCAATTCTTATAAACGAAGCTCAATGTTGTCTTTATTCGTTATTTTAGGCTTAAAAAATCGTCGAGTCCGTCCCGTTGGTTAATGGGTTTGCCACCTACGTCTCCGCGGTTGAAATTCACCCATACACATCTCGGGGGGAGTCCGGTGCCGCGACGACCTCCACGTCACCCACCTTCTCCATCTGCAAGATCTCGTTCCTTGGAGTTGCTCGATCATGAAGAGAAAAAATCAGTTTCACCGGCCAGAGAACCAGAAGTGCAAGCGAGGCCGAGGTCTAGAAGTTTAGATGGCCTGCTGGACGAAGACGGAATAGTTCCAGAAATTAAGACTGAAGAACCACCTAAACTGAACGACGGAAGCAATACTGAAACTGAAACGTCTTTGAAAACTTCGGACAAACACACTAATAAAATAAGAGATGACGCTGTCCAAATTTCATCGCAAGGAATTGAGAGTAATGCTGACAATCAAGAACCAATATTACCCGGAGATCAAAATCCGATACCAATTCCTAGGCACCGGATAAAACCAATTTCAGAAACTCAATTGGAGTTAGTCAGTATAGGACAATCAGAGGATAAGGAGAAGTCATTAAAACTTGAGGCCAACAGCGAAAAGGAAGCGCAGCATCCGCCGGCACGACCACCGAAACCGAATCGGTTCGTCAGCGTGGACACGGCGTTGTCAAGGATGGAGGACGAGAAGGATGAATTGCAGGCGAACTCGGAAGACGCTGATCCTTGCGACAGCAGCGCGGAATTGAAGGAACGACTGGTGGCAAGTGGGAACGACAAATCGACGCTGCTCAAAGCGAAGAGCTGTGGTGCGGGACTAGATTCCGACGAGAGTATCTCGTCGAACGAGTATAAGCCGAAGTCAAGGGAGCAAGGCTCGTTGCTTTCGCTTCCAACGGGCGCCGAGCCTAAGCGAAAGAAAAACTTTATGGACAAATGCGTGAACAAAGTGCGGTCTTTCATGCGGAAGTAACTCACGGAAAGATGAGTTACGAGGTGATACAAAGACTTATTATTTAATTTTGTAATATATCAACGAATTCTTATAGATCGAACTCGGCGACACCGGACCGTTTGCGATGTTTCGTATGTATTCGCTCGTGGTTAAAAACTCCTTCTACTCTCCGTATTAGAGGAGTTTCGCGTCTTCGGGATGTACAGACTCGGTGAACAGTATTTCCTTTCTCCGTTTTTTTATCTCGACGATTTATTGTATAATGAATGTAAATATTTAAGACGTTCAAAGGAAATAAGGACGAAGAACGAATCAAATAAAACGAGATTTTTGAGAAAACTCGGTTATCTGCGAACATAAACGATATTTGCACAGCATATTTGTACAGCGAATAAGAAAAAATATTACGCGACTTATCGTGATTTCTCGATTGTATAATGACAGGCAGCATGAATGTGTAACTAATGTCGTGCCTATTAAAAAGTGTCTTCGTAGAAATTCAGAATTAGGAGATTTCGAGATTTTTCTCCGATATACATATGTATACACGAAAAAGGGTAGCCTGCTTTTTTCAGGTGGCTTTCATATTTCCTTATCAAATTGTATTATATATATAATCGCACGCATATGATAAACGCGTAGGTAGATAGCATTGTTATTTGTAATACTATTTTTTAGTCTGTTTTAATTTCTCGTTAGGATATCGTAAAGTAACGTTCCGCTCGCGGTACATATCGCGAGTGATGGCAACTAACCCCTACGAAATAAAAACGAAGAAAAAACAAATTTTAACATTTACACTATTTTATCTATTAATAAGCGTTTTTACTGTATCACACTTTTAATTAAGTAATTGTCCTCCCTGTTAGCGAACAAAATTCACCAACGTAATGAATCTTTTAAAGTTTCAGCAAATCGTACTATTTTAATTAAAAATTTTAATGTTTCTCACGTGAATTACATAAAAGAAAAAGAAATCGGATATAATATTTTGTATGACTGAAACGTTGAGATTTTTGAAAATTATACTTGCCTAGAAAATTTGCAACTATCTCTCGAAAGTGTAACTATCCCTTCAACAATAAAATGCATATAATTTGAACGGATATGCTCCTATGGAATAAAAAACAAAAGACCCAATTGAAATAGTTTTGCATCAATCAGAAATCGAATCGAAATCATCCCTTTTGCATCTCTCTCGGGCCGCTCTTTGGTCTTACAGCGCACACTGCAAGTCCTATTCTTTAAGAGGTCAATGAACTCGTCTCACTCGTGCATGGCTAACAACCTCCTACAATACCTAGTGGCATTAATCTAGTGGTATTTCCTGACGTCCGTCAGTGCGTCAGTACTGCCAAACACCAAAACATGCAATTATGGCAGCGGGTCCTATTGCCGAGCGGAATCAAGGTAAATTTTTGTTTAAATTGTGTTTTATAACATTCAAACGTACTTTTTAAATTCCTACTTATATTTTAAAGTACAAATTAACATTCGTATCGTACTATTAAGTATTTTTATTAAGATTAAAAATATTATTTTAGTAGGTTAGGAGCGTATAAGGACTGTAGATTAGTATTTCTAGAAATTGCAATTGAAAGATTATTTTTAATTTTACATAAGTTGTTTTTTTTTAACTCTTAGATGCCACGATATATGTGGGAGGGCTGGATGACAAAGTCACAGAATCCCTTATGTGGGAACTGTTCGTCCAGTCAGGACCAGTGGGTATGTACTGGTATTTAGTAATGTTTAGATTTCAACCAATTTACAATTGATCAAGTTTTATAATTTTTTTAGTTAATGTCCATATGCCCAAGGATAGGGTGACTCAAATGCATCAGGGCTATGGGTTTGTAGAATTTATGGGAGAAGAAGATGCAGACTATGCTATCAAAATCATGAATATGATAAAATTATATGGGAAGCCAATAAGAGTGAACAAAGCAAGTGCTCATCAAAAGAATTTAGATGTTGGAGCTAACATTTTTATTGGAAATTTAGACCCAGAAGTAGATGAGAAACTGTTGTACGATACTTTCAGTGCTTTCGGAGTAATCCTTCAAACACCAAAGGTAATAAATACCTTAATAATAAATAGGAACCGAGAACTAACAAGTTAATTTGTATTTTAGATAATGAGAGACCCTGAAACGGGAAATTCCAAAGGTTTCGCATTCATCAATTTCGCTTCATTCGATGCATCTGATGCAAGTATCGAAGCAATGAACGGCCAATATCTTTGCAACAGACCGATTTCCGTGTCGTACGCTTTCAAACGCGATGCCAAAGGAGAAAGACACGGTAGCGCGGCTGAGAGACTGCTTGCTGCACAAAATCCACTGAGCCAAGCGGACAGGCCTCATCAACTGTTCGCGGACGCGCCTCCTTTGGCGCCACCACCGATGCCGAATTCGAACGCGCCTCCGCATCAAGCCCATCATCAACATCATGTGATACATCACGGAATGGTGGTACCACCTCCGCCACCTCCGTCGACGCCGGGACCACCCATGGGTCACCCTCCGCCGCCTCCCGTTCCACCGCCGCCATCGAGCGGTTTTCCTCCAGCAAGTATTCCTCCGCCTCCTCTGCCTCCAATGTCGATGGCAACACATCCACCTTTACCGCCTGGAATGCCACCTCCGTTACCACCGATGCCTGTCCCAACGTCTCAAGCACAACAAACGACTCCGAGAATGATGGCCCCGCCACCCCCTCATTGGGGTGTCAGTGCACCTACGCAAGGTCAATTCCCGCCACCGCCACCGCCTTCGTCTACGGGAGCACCTCCGCAATTTGGGCAATTTCAACCACCGCCACCGCGTCCCCCTCCAACTTGGAGACATCCACCGCCTCCGCCTGTGTCCCAAGGAGGGCCGCCGCCTCCTCCACCTCCACAATTCCGACCACCCTTCCCACCGAGAGGTCCACCACCACCACCACCGCCCCACGATTCCAATCAATATTAAGGTTTCTTTATTACACTTCATTTTCTTCAACGCTGCTCTTAGTTTATTGCCAATTCATCGAAAAATAAGAATTTTCAATTCGGCCAAACAATTGTTTTATCGACTGTACAAATGTGTGTTTTCTAGAACGTGTTTGTAATAAACTTATGAATTTTCAACAACAAACGTGTCATTGAATCATCATCCCCCAAATAGTAAGACTGAAAGCGGATTAAAGCGGAATATCACGCGGTGATTAACGACAAACTGATACTATACGTTTTTAATGATTGGACGTGCGGTCATTTAATGTATCGATTAGAAGTAGCGCGTGAATAAGGACATACCCCGTACGTTCTATCGATTATTTCAAGCCTGTCCAGTTCAGTTGGTGATAAAACTGAACGGATAAATGAGTGACGAAAGAGTCGCCTTCGAGAACGTGTCGAAGGGATTTCGGCAGTGAGTCGTTTCGCGTACAAAACTGGACGAGAAATCAGAAAAACAAGTTTTGTTTGTCGCACGTCGCCAGCGGGGGTAAATAAGAGGAACAGGTGTCTGAAGAAGTAAATTAAGTGGCGCCGACGACGCTATGCATTCCGAAAATAACGCGGTTTTTTTAGATCATTGACTGAATCTAATGGTTCCTTTGATCTATGCGTCGCGGTGCCTCATCTATATACTATTCTTTAACAAAATTGAACCGCTCTCAACGCAAATCGGTGGTACGAATTTTCGATTGCAAGTAGTTGGCCGACGATCGAAGAAAGAACATCATGTACAACTTGTGATATGGCTCGCCTCTATTACGAGTGTAACGAGTTTTTAAAGAACAATACAGAGGACAGTGAAACGCTCAAACCGTACGCGTGTACACCAGACAAGTATTGTTTGTATTGTTGTTGCAACTCGCAGTGTTGTTTATTGGTTCAAAAACGGCCTCCACGACACGTTTGGGAAGCCTGGTACTTTTGGCTAGGCATTGCTTTAGTCGCTGTTTTTGTCATATCTTCGGTAAGCGATCTCCAATGATCCCCGTTTGCATCGTGTGATAGATTTACATATGTAGATAGATAAAATAGTAGCTAATCGTGAGAATCGTAGCGCTTCCCGCCTGTTGGTACCTGTCCTCGATCGCCACCCCCGCAGAATTCATTATAGCTCAATTACGCACGTTTTGAACTTTATCGTTGCGAACGCGCAAACCTTTCTAAGGATCATTTCGATTCCTTCTTGAAACTAGGTGAGCAGCTACATAGTCAGTAATTGCAGACATAATATTCAAGGTGTACAACTAAGACACAGCACTAACGACGATCGACAAAACGAACGCGATAGCCAACCGGGAAGCAACCAGAACGAGATATCGATAAGTATAATTCCGACGTCGGAATTTTTTCCATCGCATAGAAAAATGTTCGTGATCGCCTCTCAACCAACCGTTAGTCACCTGAGTAAGTATAAATTAATACTTGGGATAATTTACTTGCAAAACTGAGGAACACAGATTCAGATCAAACACGCCGTCACGTATTTAACGCATGCTTCGCTACGCTGAATAATTAAACGTTCGTTGCAAAGACTATATTTAACGCTCACGTATTTTGCATCGAGGAATTAGACTGAAACTTTCGATAATAAACAAAAGACCGTCTAACGTACGAGACTTCTAGACAGAAATACGATTTTCACTAATAATAATCTTGCGCACGCAATTTATATTGCAGCTCCCGTCGTTGCGTGAGGCTGTTTCGTTTTAACGTAGTAATCATGTCGGCGAAAAGAAGCCGACGCAAAAAGAGCTGGAAGACCGTCGCCTAGTACATATTTTACGCGATAATACCCCTCGAAAGGGATCGTGTCGCATCGAGAGCTTTGACCGGTTGGTACATTATGACCGCGTGATTAAGTCCGTGTGCAACTTTTACTTAATATAAATGTGTCTTCTTACTTAGCCTCCAGACATAATATTATGATTAGTGATTCGAACGCCCTAATTGCGGCCGACATCAAGCAAAAATGAGAAGCAATTTGATTAAAGATTGTGGTTTGCGCACTGATCTGACGTTAATACCGCTTAGATTACGTCCCAGCTTGGACGGTTCTTAACTTGTTACACATAATGCACTTTATTAAAGGTTTCGTAAATGCAAAGATGAAAAAGCTAGTTCTTAAGTCTTATTTTAAGAGAATCTTTCATTAACCTTCTCATAAGTGCTTCACTTGGCAATTGTAAAATGGCTAACAACGAGATAAAAACGTATTCGATGTTTAGCAAGTTGGAATTTTCGAAGAATTCTTATTTTAAGAATAATTGAATAATAGCTACGAACGCTGGTTGTATTCGCCAGTCCGAGATTAATAAGTTAAGAGTTTAGACAAATTTATGGGTGATATATTCTTCTAATAACATCGCAATGTCTTTGATATAAATTTTTCTGAAACATAAATAATCAAATAATCCCATGTTCAATTTAATTTATAATAGTAGACACAAGAAAAGAACATGATAAATTATTCTCTACTGGGAAATTTCAATTTGAAAAATAAAACGACGTTTTATACGTATGAACCTAATAGAATTTCAAAACCAGAAAATTCTTCGCTTCCATTAAACGGAATAGGGTGGAGTCAACTCGATCAAAACTCGTTCCCGGGGCCTCGAATGGGTTCTCATTAATAATTAAGAAGGTACGTTCGGAGCTTGGTCAATGCGACTGATCGCGTACCGAGGGATCGAGGGCTAATTAAACAGGACGATCCAGTGAATACGACTTAAGGCAGCGTCCACTCTTTCTCTTTTCCTTCATTTCTCTTAATCTACCTCTTCCTTGCTCTCCTCTTTTCTTTCATGTCCAACTTAACTCCTCGTCTTCCTTTTCCCCCCCGATTCGGTCTTACTTCTCTGTTTCAAGATCGACCCGACGATAGTAGTTAATCGCGGTAATCTTCGCAAAAGAGAGGAATCAAGAGAAACTGCGGCGTTTGTCGAGCTGCGCAACCATCTCGGAAACATACGTGCTTTACAACGATAATAAAATTGAAATGCTCCTTCTTGATGCACGAATGCTATTACGGTCTGCGATTGTTAAAACATTTGATAAACGTAGAGTGCTTCGAATTTTTTTGGACAATTAAACAATTTTAATTTCTTGTGTAATGATTGGCTGTGATCATGTCAATTCGAAACTACTAACGAAGGAAACTTGTATTGTTCCAATGACTGTTAAAATATGTATAAGAATATAGAAGTGTATTATTTGTTAAAAGACGATAAATGTGTGTTTAGGCTTGTTGTCAAATGTGAGAATGCAAGTAAGTCACATTTTTCTCGTATCAAAGATGAGAATTAATATTTCTGATTGGCACGAGATACTTAAAAAAACGATACTGGCTTAATAATTAATAGCCCTTCAACTGACAAATCCAATAAGTACTTAAATACGACTTGCGCTTGCATTCTCGCGTACACAAATAATAGTTTGTAAAGTAGCGGACGTATATTTAGGTCGCGATACCCGATACACAGGGACTAAATTAATTAATATGCACCGAAAGAAAAACAGATACATTTGACATTTCGCGCAAATGCGATTGTAATTAGATGCGTAGGACGCGAGTGGAAACTAACACACAGCCTGATTACCATAAGCATTAAGTAGCAGTGAAAAGTTCTATAAATAAACGATTTCAGTGTGTTGCATTTAAATAATATACCTGTAGCCTTCTTTTTCAGCTTTCATAACTCCCACGACACAATGAGCTTGTTAAGCAAGTCTCGCTGATTAACAAAAACAGACCCGTGAGATTTGCATTCGAGACTTCGCACGGGCAATTGACCGATTTAATTAGTTATTCGGATTATCTTTAAGACTTCGCAGATTAATGTTTAGTACAGAAAAACACGTTTAATCAGGAGTATGCAAATTACGAAACAATTATCGACGCCAGCGAGAAGTTTCAATTTTAATGAGAGACTCGCAATGCACACAGGAGGAATTTATATTGGCCAGTGGCCACCTCATTGGACAGTCTATTCGTATTCTTTGAACGATTCGCGATAAATTTCAATAAACCAACCGCGTGAAAGAAATCCTTGTGCTCCCTGTACATCTTTTTACGGCGAACACTTGATCTGTTCGCGCAATAAGAAGTAGCAGCAACGAAGCAGACTGCCGGCGACCTCGTTCGACTGTAACGAAGTGTCATTCCGATAACCCAGGCCAGCTTTTACTGTCACTCGACGGATGACGATAAAGAAATGTGCAACCATCGGGGATCTGCTTTTAATATTGCATGGACAGGAAGCGGGGAATTAAACTCTCGTCTGGCTTGGCGTTAACTGCTTAGACTCCGATTGAGACGTTTCATCGTCTCTTAATTACAGCTGATCATATTTCTTCCTCCCCTACCTTTTTTAACATATTCGTATCGCACGTCAAGAAAATAAAAACTGTTTCTGTTAGTATTAATATGTATCTTCTCACATCGTGTATCCCATGCAACATATCTATTTCCTTTTTATAAATTGATAAAATCTAGTAATCAACATATCAACTTGATCGAAGAATTGCATCTGACAAACGATGATACGTAGAAGAACGATACGACGTGCGTACGCTATAAGTTTTAGATGTTATTCGCTTAATAAATCGATCAAATTTAGGAAATTCTCGGGGCTGGAAACTGTTCTAAAAAAAATCCGTTGAAATTCTTTCCAAGCAGAATGTATCGCGGCGCGTAAACAAGGTGTAGTTTATTCGGCGAAACGTAAACCTATAAAAAGGTGCGATCAATTACATATAACCGACCATACTTTGACTGCTGCCCGCGAGTATACTGAAGATGATTATCGAATAAAAGATGAAAACGTGGATTATAATGGCAGCGGTTTCACGGTTGATCGCGTGCTGAGCAGCAGCCCGGCTCCTCCATCTGGAAGTCGTTTGTGAATACGTGTCCCGTTGCTGCGTCCACGCCACACGCTACGCACGAATTCGTGATGCTGCACCAATAAATCGGTCAACTTTAAAAGAGGCCGGGGCCAGCACAAAGGCTGGTGAAATCTGTGCGAATAAATTGCGAACACGAAGGGGGAGCTAATAAAAATGGCTTGCGGTGAGAAAATTGTAAAAAGCTATCAAAGAAGATTCGAAAGAGAGAACTGATTAGCCCCCGAAGTTCTAACAATAATTACAACTGCGTTCAAGCCTCGATTTTAATCCGGTTACTCATCGGTATTTCAAGCGTCGCGTACTATCGTCAAATATATATTCGGCGCGCCATTTTTATGTCGCAAATAAAGAAAGAAGAGACCGAGGATTCTTTTGGAGGAAAAGATAATCCTCCGTTATATTATACGTTGAAACTATGCGGTTGGAGTAATGTCAATGCGATGATGGAATTAGAATAGAGAAGTAAATTCGTGAGGTGGTGTACCGGCGCGACACGATGAAAAGGGAAAAAAGAAAACAGAGAGGTGGGAACTAAGAACGGCGATGTGCAAAGCAAAAGAAAGAGAAGGATAGGTTTCTCTTCCAGTGGGAGGTACTAAAATTAGAGAAGAGAGCCCACGCGGGTAACAGTTTCTTCTTGAAGCTTCCCTCGGACATTTTCAAATAGTTCTTTACGCCGATAACACAGCGTGTTTTCGCGACGTCTCGCTGTCAGTCGCGACTCGGCGCCGTGATTCTGCGTTCGATTCGATTGGCTTACAAAGTGACTTCCCCGGGAGACACGATCGCCTCTTTGGAACCCATTCAACGTCCAAGTTACCCGAGCTATTCCAACTGGCAACACGCGGACTTTGAATAATCGTTTTTTCTTTTTATCAACGCTGATCACCGTAATCGATGGCTCCCGGTCTATCGACGAAAAATGAAAATCGATGAACGCTGATTTCCTTCTCCGGCGAGCTCACTTATTTTCCTCCTCGAGTGATACCGAATAATACCGCGTCAAATAAGTATAACGATCGACAACAAATTGGGTTTCTTTTCATCGCTAATAGCATCGCCTCTTATCAAGATTGCCTTCGCGTCTGATACAAGCTACCCTTCCCAGGATGATAATACGTATTCCTGGCCTTCGCCTGCGTTTCGTGCGGCCCTCGTGCAGATAGCAAGCTGCACCTATACCTACACCGTCGACATCCTTATCGAGGAAATTGTCTCTGAATCGTCGACGCAGTCGTGTGATTTCATCCCAAAGATCCTTCCCGATATCGAGGCTTCGCGACAGTGTTCGATCCGGCGAGGCTACGGCATGTATTTCAATCGATCGGTTATCGAGGCGCCAATCTGCATACATTTCATCCTGCTATTTCTGTTTTTTGCGACGACCAGCATTGAACGAGTCGAAGGTAAGTCGACCGGTCGAGCCTCGTGCTCCGAGAGCCATGTTGTTATCAATTTTTTATGCAACATAATCGTTCCGCGGCACGGTACAGCCGACGCGTGTGTACGTGCATTGTCGTGCGATTTATCAACGCCTATGTACCGCGTAATGAGCAGCGGGAACGAAAGAGCGATGCGACGCGAAACAAACAAGATGAACGAACGTATGATCTATCGCACACGCGTGTCATACGTTAACACGATCGAAATGCAATCGCTGAGAAATTCGTTAATGTCTCCAGGCAGAAAATGCGTGTGCACCAGCAAGGCCTGCAAGGAATCCGGCGTGGACACGTGCAAAACGAAATTCTCCTGTTACACCGAATTGATCTTGACCGAGAACCAAGAACTCGGAGAGAATACCACGACGAGAGGTTGCACAGAGTTCGTATGACTTTCTTTTGTGTATTAAAACGAGTCATAAATATTTGCAAAACGGAAGCCTCGATGATCTTGTCTTTGAAATACATTGTCAGGAGTCTGATTCTAAACAATTTTTTCTTATACATGCATCAGTCATTCAACTTCAGCTTCCGGGATGTTCGCAAAAAATGTTCGATACTATTTAAGATATTTTTAGAAATTCACAGACAACGATTTGAATGTGTTGTAATAGTGGCTATTTTGAGAGACTTCATTATACCTTTTCTAGACAGACCTGCGATTTTATAACACAATTCCACGGTGATTCTGAGCCTGAAGTATGCAAAATTTTTAAATCCGCACGCTCTTAAATTTGCAGAAATAGAAGGAAAAATGAAAATGTGAAATACACGTCTTAAACAAAACATCGTTCGAGCACGATAATAGTAAACTCTCGGTAAAAAGTAACACTTTGACCTTTGACCTTTTCATCTCTCGTTGGACAATAAATTAAACCAGTACAAACAGAGTTGACACGGAAACGATTCCATTTTGCTTGGATTTTATGATCGATGTACGTACCTACTATAAATTCACTGGAACTTTATGGCATAGACAATCGATACGAATTTTCACAAGTTCCCGTTATGTAAAAATGACTGTTTATATAAATGTGTGTATCCACGTGTTGAAATCGCTTCGGCTGAAATAACTGATGAGTTTTTACTACGTACTCCCAATTAAACCCTGAAATTTATCTGCAGATAACGTGGCATTAATCACTGAGAGGAAAAAATTAATTTTTATGGACAATAATCAAAGTAACATGTAATTGAATGATCTTCTATAAATTTCGAGGAGTATTCAAATACTTTTTTAAATTATTTAAAACTGCAGAAACATAAAGAAAAAACGTGCACGAAGTTAAGCTGACCGAGTATGCAGATGGAGGGTTTGAAACCGAGGCGTAGCAAACTCGATATATATGTAGATTTTTACATACGCGCGGAATATTGAAATCTCGCCACGCGACGTAAATCGTACAAAATGGTGATTTAAATATCCCGACTATCGGCGAGGTCACGGAACTTTATCGGGCCGAGAGTCCATTTTATCGGAACGTTTGTGCGTTACCAATGCTCAGGGGCGCCACACCATTGTTGTGCGAGACAAAGTCCTGGGTCACGAGGTCGAAGTCGACCGACAACGTGGACCGATCGTCGACTGCCCAGATCCGTATGCCCTGGCCCAGATTGAAATGTTGCGACAGCCGCGACTACTGTAACGCCGATCACCACGTAAACGTGTCCACGTGGATCCACGACGGAGAGAAGCCTACCGATCCCATCCAAGCGACTTTGGGTTACGCCGGTAAAAGAGACCTCATTTCGTAACGCGGCAAACTACAACCATTAAAGATGTTCAGCTATCCCAAGTATTCGACCCTTCTCTTCGGTTCGACGAAAATTAGTTTTAGAAATTCCTATACAATTTAAGGATGTATTGGCTATACAGTCAATCCTAAAAGTTTATGCACTTTAGAAACGCATTTTTTAAAAAGAAATCACACGTCGGAAGAACATTGCTAATAATAAAC